TAAGTGAAGGAAAAATAAAATCCTTTGCGAACAAGCAAGTACTCAAAGATTTCATCACCACCAGGCCTGCTTTACAAGATCTCCTGAAAGAGGCACTAAACAGAGAAAGGAACAACCAGCACCAGCCACTCCAAAAACATGCCAAATGGTAATGTAAATGGACTAAATGCCCAAATCAAAAGACACAGACTGGCAAATTGGATAAAAAGCCAAAACCCATTGATGCGCTGTATCCAGGGAACCCATCTCACATGCAAGGACACACAAAGTCTCAAAATAAAGGGATGGAGGAAGATTTACCAAGCAAATAGAGAGCAAAAAAAAGCAGAAGTTGCAATCCTAGTCTCTGATAAAATAGACTTTAAAGCAATAAAGATCAAAAGAGACAAAGAAGGACATTACATAATGGTAAAAGGATCAATGCAACAAGAAGAGCTAATGATACTAATATATATGCATTCAATACAGGAGCACCCAGATATATAAGGCAAGTTATTTTATTTTATTTTTTTTTAACAGTACAGGATCAATTTAATCACTGATTCCTAACCAGATTACTTCATTGTTGGGATTCTTTCAGAAAACAAAGTGAACAGTTAAATGAAGCAAGAATACTGTGAGATTTTTGAAGTAAAAGCTAACAATTATTGAATGCCTACTATGTGCCAAGCACTGTGCGCACATTTAAGACTCTAATCTTCACAATTCCGCCAGATTGATCTCACTTATTTTTACAATTTTTTAAAATTGTTTTAAGAGTTTAAATGACTTGCTTAAAACCATGTTAACACAAGACTGGAATTCAATGCAAGATCTGAGAGTTAAATGCCCATACGCCCTTGACCCTAGACCTCTCATTTAGGTAACTGTACACATGCGAAAACATGAATGAATCAGGATTTGTTATCTGTGACAGTTCAAAACAGCAGTGGCTTCAGAAACGTAGTTTCTTCTCTCCAGTGCAGAGGTACAGTCACGGGGCTCCTAGGATCACTCTGAGGTGTCAAGGGTAGAAGCTCCTATGCTTTTGTTGCTCTGCCTTCTGTGGCTTCATGATCCCAGATAGGGGCAAGAGGTCCAGCCATTACCTCTTCATTTTAGCTGTTAGAAGGAAGGAATAAGGACATGTCCATATTTTTAAGGACATGTCCCAAAACTTTGCTCCGGTCACTGGTCAGATCTGATTGCAAGGGAGGCTGGGAAAGTAATCCTTATATTCTGGGTGGCCTTGCACTTACCTGAAAATCAGAGTTCTAAAAAGGAGAATGAATATTGAGAGACAAGAGCCTCTGCCACAGTGTGCTTAAGGAGTGTGCCAGGAATAAAAACTAGAACTTAAATCCTTTCATCTTTCCCTTCATGCAAGTGTATATATTCTGCTAGCAAAGTGGGACATTCATCTGTACTTTTCTTGATAGTTGAAGTATTTGTGAGAACCAGAGTAACAAATCCCCATGCACCCACCATCCAAGTTCTTAATGACTTACAAAGAGACTTAGACTCCCACACAATAATAGTGGGAGACTTTAACACCCCATCGTCAATATTAAACACATCGACGAGACAGAAAATTAACAATGATATCCAGGACTTGAACTCGGACCTGGACCAAGCAAACCTAATAGACATTTACAGAACTCTCCACCCCAAATCCACAGAATATACATTCTTCTCAGCACCACATCACACCTAATCTAAAATTGATCACATAATTGGAAGTAAATCACTCCTCAGCAAATCCAAAAGAATGAAAATCATAACAAACAGTCTCTCAGACCACAGTGCAATCAAGTTAGAACTCAGAATTCAGAAACTAACTCAGAACCGCACAGCTTCATGGA